AGGATGATATGTCAGATCCCCTTGAAGGTACATCCAGAATATACACCCAGGGAGGGAATGGTAGACAGGACTAGAGAGGCCCTGCCTCTAGCCAGGTAGAAGCCAGGGAAAATTGTGTCTTTTGGGCTGTGTGGATCCCTGGCGTATCAGCGTGGGAATCTAGGGCGTCCCTCTGGCTGCCCTGGAAGGTCTGGGACCCTGGCAAGGGGGTCAGGAACCCCCCTGTACAGAGCCCTGAGAGACACTTGGGTGTCTCTGATCTCTGTCCATACAAAAGAGTTTTCAATCTTACAGGATGAATTACAAGCTTTGAGTATTTGATATAAATGATAATTAGCGTGGCACGGGTGCAAAAGTAGAATTTTAGGATTCTAGATAAGGCGTTCAAAGAAGGCAAGATGGAGGAAATTGGGTGTGCCTTGTCCTTTATCTTCTTCTTCATGCCCTCCATATTTCACTGTAGTGTTGGCATTTTTCCATTGGTTTAGTTTGGGTACACACTGTTCAACATAGGTGATAGATATTGGCACGTTATTGCAAATAGAGCACAGGTATTTTCTGGTATGTAATGTTTGTAACATCCCACTGAGGGGCAGAGCCCCGCACACTGTCCTGCAGGACAGACCTGCTGCAGGTCAGACAGAACATGTTATAGACAAGCAATAATAAACAACCTTGAAAACCAGCACAGACGAATTACGACTTCTTCTTTGGCAGGGGGGCTGAAAGACAGAGACTTTTTATAATCTCAGGATCATTTAAATATCACAGATCCCGACACATCAGAGCCATAGAAATGCGAGGCTTTTGTTGACACTGGTGAGCAGTGTCTAATGCCATCAGGACATGTGGGGGAAGAACCCGTTTCTATTGCTGGGGTGACAGGGGGATGGCAGCAGTTGACCCTGCTGGAAGCTGAGGTGAGTCAGACTGGGAAAGAGTGGAAGAAACATGCTATTGTGACTGATCTAGAGGCCCTGTGTATTCTGGGCTAAGATTTCCTCTGGAGTGATTATTTAAAAGATGCAAAAGGACTCAGGTGGGCTTTTGGAATAGCTGCTGTGGAGGCAGAGGGCATTAGGCAATTGAAAGTCCTTGCCCGGACTGTCTGAAAATCCTTCTGCTCTTTGACTCTTGAAGGTAGAAGAGCAACAAGCACCAATTACCACCTCAGTGGTGCATCGCCAGCAATACCGGATGAATTGAGATGCCATGATCCACGTCCACAAAATGATCTCAGAGCTGGAGAGCCAAGGGGTGGTCAGCAAAGCCCACTCACCCTTCAACAGTCCCGTTTGGCCTGCGTGTAAATCTGAAGGAGAATGGAGGTTGACGGTGGACTATCGTGCCTTGAACGAAGTGACTCCACCTCTGAGCGCTGCTGTGCCAGACATGTTAGAGCTCTGGTACGAGCTGGAGTCCAAGGTTCAACAAAGTGGTACGCCACTCTTGACATTGCCAATGCATTTTTCTCCATTCCTCTGGCAGCAGAATGCAGGCCTCAGTTTGCCTTCGCCTGGAGGGCCGTGCAGTATACCTGGAACTGACTGCCCCAAGGGTGGAAACACAGCCCCACCATCTGCCATGGACTGATCCAGGCTGCACAGGAAAAGGGCGAAGCACAGGAGCATCTGCAGTACACCGATGACATTGTTGTGTGGGGGAACTTGGCAATGGAAATATTTGAGAAAGGGGAAAAAATCATCCAGATTCTACTGGAAGCCGAAAAAAAAAAGAGCAAAGTCAAAGGACCTGCCTGAGAGATCCAGTTCCTGGGAATAAAGTGGCAAACAGACACCAACAGATACCACTAAGGTAATCAACAAGATCACAGCAAGGTCTCCACCGACCAACAAGAAGAAAAGACAAGCTTTCCTAGGCACCATAGGTTTTTGGAGAATGCACATTCCTAAGTACAGCCAAAATGCAAGCCCTCTCTACCTGGTAACCCACAAGAAGAACGATTTCCACAGGGGCCCTCAACAGCAACAAGCCTTCACCCAGATCAAGCAGGAGATTGCTCATGCAGTAGCCCTTGGCCCAGTCAGGATGGGACAAGAGATGAAGAATGTGTTTTACTCTGGAGCCGGGAACAATGGCTTGTCCTGGAGCCTTTGGCAGAAGGTGCCTGGAGAGACTCGAGGCCAACCACTTGGATTCTGGAGCTGAAGTAAGAGGGTCCAAAGCCAACTATGCTCCCACCGAGAAGGAGATCCTGGCAGCCTCTGAAGGAGTTCAGGCTGCCTCAGAGGTGACCGGCATAGAGGTACAACTTCTCCTGGCACCCTGACTGCTGGTGCTGGGTGAATGTTTAAAGGAAAGGTTCCCTCTAGCCATCATGCCACTGATGCCACATGGAGTAAATGGAAATGGGTTGCCCTCACTACACAGCACGCCAGTATTGGAAACAGAAATTGTTCTGGGATCCTGGAGATAATTATGAATTGGCCTGAAGGTGAGAACTTTGATCTACTGTAAAAAGAAGAGCAGGAACAGGTGTCGTGTGCTGAGGAAGCTCCACCTTACAACCAAGTGCCACAAGAAGAAACACGCTACGCTCTTTTCCCTGACGCTTCCTGGTGCATTGGAAGGACGAGCTGAAAGTGGAAAGTAGCTGTATGCATTCCCACGCGAGCGGCTGCAGAAGCTACTGAAGGAGGAGGTGGATTGAGCCAACTTGCTGAACTCAGAGCTGTTCTGTTGGCCCTGGACACTGCTGAGGGAGAGAAGTGGCCAGAACTCTCTTTCTACACTGACTCCTGGATGGTAGACAATGCTCTGTGGAGGCCTTTTCTGGCTGGAAAGGTGGAAAAAGGCCAATTGCCAGCATAGGGGAAAACCAATCTGAGCTGCTGACGAAGGACAAGACATTGCTGCTCGAGTAGAGAAGCTACCTGGGAAAGTCTGCCATGTTGGTGCCCACATGCCCATGAGTTGGGTTAATGAGGAACACTGAAATAATGAACAGGTGGATCAGGCTGCAAAAATGAAGGTGTTACGGATAGGTTTGGATTGCAAACACAAGGGACAGCTTGAACACTGCTCAGAACACCATCCTGGGCCTTGAAAAGCAGGTGCTTTGGAGGCAGGAGGTACCTGTGAGAGAATTGAGTCCAACAAAGGGACTCATCTCAAAGGCAGCCATATAAACACTTGGGCTAGAGCACATGGCGTTGAGTGGGTATATCACATTCCCGACCATGCAGCAGCTGCCAGAAAAGTTGAGCGGTGCAATGAACTTTTCAAAAACACATTGAAGGCAATGGGGGGATGGGATCGTCAAGCAGTGGGAGCTGCATTTAGCAAAGGCTGCATGGTTAGTTAATAGCAGATTGGCCATGCCCAATCCAAAGCATTGTGTACAGCAGATGGAGACAAGGTTCTGGTGGTGCATATGAAAGGTATGCTAGGAAAGAATGTTTGGATTAACTCTGCCTCGAGCAAAGACAAACCCATCCGTGGGGTTGTCTTTGCTCAGGGACCAGGTTGCACTTGGTGGGGGATGTAGAAAAATGGATAAACAAAATGGATATCTCCAGGGGACCTTGTTTTGGGGCGAATTGCCCAGAACACTGTGCCTGTATAGATATCTGCATGTATGTATGCATATAATTAGGATACTACATGTATGTATATAGGTTAAAAGTCAAAGTTTGATGAAAGATGTTGGTATGGGAAAAAATTCACGGTGGAAAATGTTGTGTGTTTGGAGGGGTTTTTTTGGTGAATTGTCTCCCATTTGTTACCTGAAAAGGGGGATGTGGCAAGGAGAGGGCAGTTGATGCCCGTGGGGAAAGATTTGCCCGTGGGACAATTGAGATGCAAAGAACTGGCCAATGACTCTCCCATTCCACTGGAAGCTTCCAGGGAGGGAGGGCAGGGTTGGGCACTGGCTTGCCAGAGAGAAGTGCTGCCATCCAGAGGGACAGTTCAACAAGGGTGACAGTTCAATGGCAAGTGCTGAGCCGTGTCCTTGGGAAGGAACAGGCACAGGCACTGGTATCTGCTGGGGGCCACCCAGTTGAAAAACTGAAGTTTGGCAGGGTCCTGCTGGACACCAGGATGCCCACGGGCCAGCAATGCGCTCCTGCAGCAATGCAGAACAGCGTCCTGGGCTGCACTGGCAGCTGTGACACAGCTGGTGGAGGGAGGGGATCCTTTCCCTCTGCTCCACACCAGTGAGGCCAGCCCTGGAGTGCTGGGCCCAGAGCTGGGCTGCCCAGTACAGGAGACAGGGACAGACTGGACAGAGTCCAGCTCAGGGCCATGAAGATGATGGAGGGACTGGAGCATCTCTGCCGTGAGGAGAGGCTGAGAGAGCTGGCACTGCCCAGCCTGGAGCAGAGCAGGCTCAGGGCATCTCATCCCTGGGGATAAACACCCGGGGGGAGGCTGCAGAGGGAACAGAGCCAGGGACAGCCCCAGGGGCCTTGGGCACCAGGTGACACACAGGAGGGGCCCTCCGAGCTCAGGAGACACTTCTGCACTGGGAGGGTGGCTGAGCACTGGTGCAGGTGCCCAGGGAGGTGGTGGATCTCCATCCCTGGAGAGACTCAAAAGCCACCTGGACGCGTCCTGGGCAGCCGGCTCTGGGTGGCCCTGATGGAGCAGGGGCTGGGCAAGGTGACCTGCAGAGGTGCCTCCAGCCTCCCCCAGCCCCAGATTCTGGGACTCTGGGAATAAACAGTTTCCTAAGGACAAATGAAAAAGCTCCATGCATGGCAGGTTTCTCCTGCTCTCACCAAAGTGGTTCATGTCACATGTCTCCTTTCTGCAGATTCCTCCCTGGAGTGAGGATGCCTCTCAAGGTCATGCCTTGAGGCTGAGAGAAATGTTTGCCCGTGGTCATTGGTTTGGATGAGTAGCATCAATCTTTAAGAATTGGTTTTGCTGGCTTGACTAGAATTGCTGCAATGTTGCTTCAAAATATAATGCACTATACTGGAAGTTATAGTTCCCTGTACTGGGTAGTGAATAACCCAGAGAAAGATCTATTAGTTTAATCATGATCATAATAAACTCTTTATTTTTCTATAAATATATCTTACATCCTATGGAACAGAGTTGTGTAAAGGTTCAATTGCATCTATGCTATTGTTTAAAGATAAACTACTGACTAAATCTAAGCCTGCATCCAGCTGCAGCCTGCCTCCTCTGAGACATTCAGGAAGCAAGGAGGTCCTTTCTGCACCTCGTGTCTCCTGCCTGCTGCCTGCACAGCTCTCCAGGTGGTCCTGTCGGTCTTGGGCCAGCTGTGCCTGCAGAGGGACACCTGAAAGAGGCACAAGGCCCGGCTCAGACAAGCCCAGGCTGGCAGGAGCACCTGCAGCCCCACGGTACCCGCTCCCGGGGCAGACACAGCCTCCAGCTCCAGCCCTCACCCACACTGTGCCCTGGGGCAAGGGGAAAGGAACAGGCTCCCAGACAGAACAGAGCTCAGATGATCAACAAGTCCAGTTCAAGGCCGGTAAAGCCTTCCCACGTACATCCCTCAGCCACCACAGGTCAGTTAGAGAGAGTTCTGAGGGGATTTAGGAACCCAACTCTGATTTCCAAAGCACACATTTGGGCCACTGACCCCTTTCTCCACAGGCTGTGCGTCAGCAGGAGGGCTGTTGCTCCCCATAGCTGCTGGAGGACTCTTCCATTTCAAAAGTTGACCGATTTTGATGGGCAGACTCGTGGACAGGAAACGTAATGTAGTCTGGGAGGAACACTCTCCTAAAAGTTCTGATTCTTCTCCTTTCAGGTTCCACCTGCACGTTGGATGGGAGAGAGGGTCACAGAAACCTGTCAGCAAACATGGGGCAAAAGGACCTCTGGGCATCATGGCAAGGAGATCTCTGCTCTGAGACCCCAAATTGCACTGGACAACACTGGGGGCAAAAAGCTCTCGCTGGGGGCTGTGCAAGAGAGGCCAGTGTGTGTGCAGGGACACAGGGCCATGGAGGGAGGCAGTGGAGTGAAGGTGCCCTTGTGAAAGCCATGGGCTGCCCCAAGAGAGGGAACAAACAAAAGGGTGTGCCCACAGCAGGGACAGGGAGAGGTAAGGAAACAAGCAGAGGTCTCCAAAGCAATGCCTGGGCTAACGTGCCAAGTTCCAGAGGAGCCTGAGGCTCTGCAGAGGCAGCAATAGCCCATTTTACCTGTTTGCCATTTCTTCTGGGCTCGGTGGATAATTCGGGACTCTCTTTCTTCTCCTCCTCTGATGATGCAGCCAGCTGCTTAGGTTCCAGGCTGGTCCCTGAGCCACGGAACAGCTGTTCCACTTGTGCTTCAACATCCTGCTGGGTATGCAGAGAGGAGATGATGCCCATACTTCAAACACCACAGAAGCTGTCCCTCAGAAATCTCCATCTCGGGAAGCGTCCTCAAAGCACCAGCAGGGCAGCTGCTCTTCAGCCCTCTCAGCACAAAACTCAGCTGGGTTTAGTCCATCACTCTGCTCACCTGCTCCATTCTTTTGCACCCAGAATCCAGACCCCCACGTGTTTCCTCCCCTTAGTCCATCACTCTGCTCAACTGCACCATTTCGTCCCACACCAAATCCAAACCCCAATGTGTTTCCTCCCCTTGTGTGGGCACAGGAGAAGCAGCTCCCCAGCCCAGATTTTGGCCTGGAGCTGATTTGAACAGCAAGCTCCTGCACAGGCAGCCCAGGGTCAGGGAGAAAACTCTCCCTCTCCCAAACTTCAGAGCATTCCAGTCAGGAGCAGAGCACAATGTGGGTAACAAAGCCCAAGGTTGAAGGGGCCTTCCAGCAATGCTGAGGCCTTGAAACTCCAACTCTTCTTTCCCGATACCAGGAGCTTGTGTCCCAGAGGAAACTGAGGCTCTGCAGAGGCAGGAAAAGCCCAGTTTACCTGCTCACCACTTCTTCTGGGCTCGGTGGATACTTCAGGACTCTCTCTCTTCTCCTTTTCTAATGATGCAGGTGGTTGCTCGGGTTCCAGGATGGTCCCTGAGCCGCCTATCAGTCGTTCCACTTCTGCTTCCGCATCCTGCTGGGTATGCAGAGAGGAGATGATGCCCATACTTCAAACACCACAGAAGCTGTCCCTCAGAAATCTCCATCTCGGGAAGCATCCTCAAAGCACCAGCAGGGCAGCTGCTCTTCAGCCCTCTCAGCACAAAACTCAGCTGGGTTTAGTCCATCACTCTGCTCAACTGCACCATTTCGTCCCACACCAAATCCAAACCCCAATGTGTTTCCTCCCCTTGTGTGGGCACAGGAGAAGCAGCTCCCCATGCCCAGCTTTTGGCCTGGAGCTGATTTGAACAGCAAGCTCCAGAGCTGGATCAGTCATTCTGGGCGAGCCAGGAAACAATCTGGCAGTCAGTGGTCTCTGGCTGGAGCCAGGCAGACAGACAAGGCTGCCTGCTGCAGCCCGGGCTGCTTTACCCACGCAGCCCTGGACTGACAGGGATAGAGACCCACCTCTTCATGGGAAGAAGCACTGGAATAGCTCAGGGACTCTGGAGTGGACTGAAGGTCAATGCCAGTGCCTGCCTGGATACCAGACTCTCCCTTCAGGAAGGCCAAGCCTTTCTGCAGACACACTTTGGCAATTTTACACTTGCTCAGTGCAGCACTCAGGGCACTCCCTCTTCCTTTCTTCAAAGCAGCAGTCCCATGCTCCAACTTTTCCTGCTTTATTTCCTTTTCAACGTCCAATTGTTGAGTTCTTTCCTGGTGATTTGGCCTCTCAGGTGCACACATTTCATTCTTCCTTTTCACATCTCTCATTTGCTGCTGGTTCAATTCCCGTTCATGCTGCCAAAACAGGGAGAAAAAGGGTCACTCACTCCCTCTCTCGGTTTGCTTTTCAGACCAGATCTGGACCCCTGCTGCAGGGGCAGGCACAGGCTGCCCCTCTCTCTCTGCCCCTCGGCATGCTGCAGACCTTTGCTGCTTCCCCCCTTGATGCTGCTCTTGCCCAGCTCGCTCAGCCTGTCCCAGCTTCCTTTCCGCCCTTCCCCGACCTCTTGCAGCTCCACTCCAGCGCTCCTTTGGGCAGGAGCTGCCAGAACTGCAGCCAGGATTTCAAGTCCATGCTAAGCAGGATTTAGGCAGTGCCACGAGGACATGCTCTCCATCAGGGAGGAAGGCAAGAGCAAACACCCCCAGCATTTCCTTCCCTGGGGCTGGGCTGCCAGGAGTGCTGTTCCACCTCTCCTGTGTAGAGTTTCCATGGCCCCATCCCCGAGAGCCCCACTGCCCTCTCTTGGAGCAGCAATGGCCAGATCAGTCTGTCATTCTCTGCTGCCACTCAGGACGAGTTCTCCCCTTGCAGGCACACGTCCTGGTGTGGATCAGCACTCGGCTTTCCTCTCTTCTCTCCCCACTGGCTGCTCTCAGATGGCCAAGGCCAAACACCTTTCTATTAACAGCAGTCTTGGTCCTCTCACACCTCCATCCCCTCCAGATATTTGGAAATATGAACATGGGTTTGGACACAAGGAATTCCCCAAACCATGCCATGGCCATAGAGAGAGTGTGGAGATTGAGAACTAAAGCTTCTAGGGAACAGAAGCCCAGCATGGAGGAAAATCAGCAGCTTCAGCATTAACTGCCTTTGGCATGACTACAACATCTCCTCCTTATTCAGAAGAATGCAGTTAGAAAAGTTTAACTGAAAAAGTCTGCTCCTTAGAACTATCACCACCAGGTCCAAACATAGCTAGGAATTGGCCCTCTGTGGCATCTGCCAATCTTACCAGCACATCCTTCCTTTCCTTCTCCAGGTTCTCCAATTTCCTCTTCAGAGATGCCACCTCCTGACGAAGAGTCACAGCCTCTTCCTGTCTTTCAGTGGCCTCTTTCTCCAGGGCACTTTCTCGAGAAATGTGCTTGAGTTGTGTCTTCCACCAATCTGCAGCAGGGAAGGGAAGGAGAAGGAGAAGGGGACAAGCAAAGCAAAGACACACTGATGTGCATCCTGCAGAGACAACAGCACTGTCTTCTCTGCCTGCCGGTGTTTGCCAGGCCCTGAGCACACAAGGGCTCCAAAGCTGACAGAAATGAAGGAAATTTCCAGGCAGTGTAAAAAGCAGGAATGAAAGGGGCAAGGTTCAGAGGGATAGGAAAGTGTGTTTGCTCTTGGTCTTGTGCAGAGGGAGCAATCCAGGAGGGACAAAGGAGAGGGGATGCCTGTGCAGCCCTGCTCAGAGAGGCCAATGGCCTGGAGGCTCTGGCAGGTCCTGGAATTTGGGGGAATCAAGCTGAGGCATCCAGCTGCAGCTCCTTAACAGAGACACAGCACCTGAAAGGCTCCAGCCCAGGATCAGCCCTAGCACAGCCAGATGGCTCTGCAAGCCACAGCATCTTTCTCAAGAAAAAAGCTTTCACTGAGCCTGTGTCTTCCTCAGCCCCAGCTCCATGGCCTTACACTGTGTGGCCATGGCCTCTGCTCTTTCCTCAGAGCTCTGGAGCCTCACACGCAGCTCAGACACCTCAGTTTCCAGCAGCTGCTTCTCTTCAGTTGCCTGCTGAGCTGTCTTCTCTATCTCTGCCAGCAGCATGGCCTGCATCTGGAAGAAGGATGCACAGAGCCTCAGGGACAGGGCTGCTCCTGAGGCCACAGAGGGGGCCGCAGGGAGAGGAACAAAGGAGAAATTATTTCAGGCAAAAACCATGCCAAAACCAGAAGGCACAGAAGCAAGGGTTCCAATGGAGACAAATGTAGAGAAAAGAGGGAAAGGGAGGCAATGGGCATCCTTGAGGCTGCAGCTCTGAACAGCAGCTGAGATGGCTGCGCTGGAAGTGCCCTGCCCAGCCTGCCACAGCCACCTCTGTGTCCCCACATTGCTCAGTGCTGGCACAGGCACCAACTCTGTCTGGGACAACACTGCTAACAGAGGGACGGAGAAGCTCCAGAGGAGGCTGCTGCTGCTTCCTCTCCCAGATTTCCTGCTGGGAGCCGGGAGAGAACGGTGCAAAACTTCGGCAGCAGACACCAGATCCAGCCTGGGCCTCAGGGTGCCGCAGCAGCCCCGGGCAGAACACGGCAGCTGTGGATGCTGCCGGGAGGGGAAAGAGGTTGGGGCCTCCAAGCCAAAGGTGCTGCTGTGTGTCCCTGGAGAAGAGGATGCCACTGCACAGCTTACCTGGGTGTTGAGCTCCTGCATTTACCTCCTATGCTCAGAACAGAGCTGCTCTGCCTGCTTAAGAGCAGAAAATAAGCGAGACACACGATTTTTCAGCACCAGGTTCTGTTCTTCCAGTTTTCGGAAGCACTGGTTCTTCTCCTCCAGAGACACAAGCAGCCTAGAAGGGAAGCAAGCAACTCATTACTATATGATATCACATTCTATAAGCTCTTAGGACTTGCAGCACCTCAGGGAAAAACTCCTCTGTCTGATGAGGTTTGTCTAAACAACTTGGCTGTTTGTTCCCTCTGAAGTCACAGCCCAACATGTGCCGACTCTGCTTTTGCTCCTGAAAGAACAGGGAGTTCCTGCCTACACACCTGTGGGAATCCAGGGCTTCCCTCTGGCTGCCCTGGCAGGTCTGGGACCCTGGCAGGGGTCAGGAACCCCCTTGTACAGAGCCCCGAGAGACACTGTCTGTGATCTTTGTCCATGGAGAGGAGTTTTCAATCTTACAGGATGAATTACAAGTTCTGAGTGTTTGATAAGAGTAATAATTAAGTGTGACACGGGTGCAAAAGTAAAATTTTAGGTTTCTAGATTAGGGGTTCAGAGGGGGCAAGATGGAGGAATTGGGTGTGTCTTGTCCTTTTCCTCCTTCCTCATGCCCTCCATGTTTCACTGTGGTGTTGGCATTTTTCCATTGGTTTAGGCTGCGGACATGCTGTTTAATGTAGATGATAGATATTGGTACATGATTGTAAATATAGCACACGTAGTTTCTGGTATATAATGTTTGTACCATCCCACTGGGGGCAGAGCCCCACACGCTGCCCTGCAGGACAGACCTGCGGCAGGGCAGCAGAACATGTTATAGATAAGCAAGAATAAACAACCTTGAAACCAGCACAGACGAATTATGGCTTCTTCTTTGGCAACGGGGCAGAAAGACAGAGACTTTCTACAATCTCGGAATCACCAATACCCACAGATTCCGACAGTGTCACAGTTATCTTATCACTTGGACGGGTTGGTCAGTGGATGGCCTTACATTGCTCTTCTTAGTTACACAAAAGCCTTTTCTATAGTACAATAAATGAACCGCACTCTTCTTTCCATAATTGATACACAGATATTATATTCATTACACTATTTCTATGAGCAGTACAGTGCATACTTAAGCTGATAGATTATATTCTCTTCACAAGCAGCTGAAAAGAGTTACAATTGGGACTTTTTCTAAATACTTATAATCACTGAGCAGGTACAAAAGCTAATACATAAATGTGAAAGCCAATATTATGTAGTCGTTTTACACAGACTTTTGTTGCAATTTTGTTCAGGTTTAATAAACCTTTTCAATTTTAAAAGTGAGCATAATTTCTCACAAAGTTAATATTCAAGACCCTGTTAAGTCTTTATTCTTCTTCCCTGAGAAGAAGTCCATGTCAATTAGTAAAGCTTTCTAAAACAAATGAATGGATTCAGCTGATTGCAATGATCATGGCTTGTGTGTCTTACAGAGGGCACATACTAAGGGGAGCATGGACAGGCGGATAGGGAAGTGCCGAGTACCTCCCAAGTAGCTCAGCCAAGGGGGAAAGGGACTGAGGAGAAAATGCAGCCGGGAAAGGAGAAAAGAAGGCTACTTGCTCTAGCTAATCGAGAGAGACCCTGATGGACTCTCTCCCTTTGTTCCAGTCAAGGGACTGCTACAGGACTCCTCTGTCTCCTTTGCGGACACGACCCTGTAGCCACGGGAATTTGACACTCTGGGGCTGGGGGGTGCTGGAGCTCCGCTCCCTGGGCAGGGGGAGAACAAACCAGTATAAACCAGTCCAGCCTGGGGCAGCTGGGCAAAGCTCAGAGTCACAAGGGGCCCCTGGCAGCGAGGCAGGCGAGCGGCGGGGAGAAGTTCCGGCCTCAGCCCAGCCGCCCTCAGTGAGTGACAGCGGGGAAACGTGCCTCAGGGATTGGCTGCCAGGGTACACAAAATGACCCCAAAAAGCCTCAAAACCTCCTCGAAATTTGCACAAAACCGACCAACATGGAATAAATGTGAATAAGTATGAAATATTTTAGGCTATGTTTTCGTTACATTTAAACAATGGAATGTGGGAAAGGAAAACTGTGCACTGAAACATGGCAAAACCAAGAAAAACCCCACAGCCCCTTTAGGAATCTCTCAAAATTAAGTAATATTTAGTAGAAGCTCAAGGAGCCCAAAGCTGCTCTTGTGGAAGCAGAGACTTGAAGCTGCATCGATCTCTGAGCCTTAACTTGGCAGTGACATCCTGGGGCCGTCATCTCTGGAGAGACAGGCCCTGCAGAAGGCAGGTGCAGCTCTTCTCTTCCACGCAGGATTTGTGCCCTGCTCAGGAGCCAATTCCTGTCAACGCGGGTACAAAATTCCTCCCTAGGTCACAGACGAGCGCTGTCGAAGATGAGGGCAAAAAGTACCTGCCAAAGTTTTGGCAAGCAGGCTCATTTAGTTCTTGAAGGTCTGTTCCTAGAGAGGAATCTTTGATGTAAGCAGCAAGACTTTACTTCTGTCTGGAAGACTTAGTGATATATTGCCAAAAGAGAGCAGAGAAATAAATGCACTTGTGTCTGTCTCAGGATTCTTAATTTATTTTGTGAGCCTTAAACACTGCTGCTCTTGGCATTTCTCTGTAGAAATTTGAAAAGCCCCTGAAACACCATTCTTCCTCCTCATGTGGCTGTTCTAAAGGCAAAGCGTTACTTTTCATGAATAGTTGTATTATAAATGAAAATTTGTCCAGCCAAATTAATATGAAAAATAAAATATTTATTTTGCAATCAAATTCTATCCAGCCAGCCACAAGGAAAGAACAGAGCCTAGCCCGGGGTCGGCCCTGGGTGTGCAACAAGGAGTCAGCTTCATCAGAGGTTTTCCTCCGTGCCCACACACCTCCATCCTGGCACAAGGGATTTTTACACGGAAAATTCCGCCTGAGGCCAAGATTTCAGCAATCAGTCGTTTCTTCTATTCAGAGTCTATGTGTTAATAAGATTTTCTTTTTGGTGATGAGGAAGAACAATTCAGTGTCTGGAGTTTGTTGATTCACATGTATCTGCCCAAGTATTTCCATGATATCCATCTCGGGTCCTTCACGATCAGCACCTGGGGTTTCTGTATTTCCCCAGACATGGCCCATCTCCTGGCGAGCCACTCCTTCTTACTTGTAAATCAGTTTCTAAAATACACCTGGTCTCTCCTGCGAGGGTGGGGGGGGAATCCTAATACAAACATGTATACTTTAACAAATATCACATATATCATATTGGAAATGGCGCGAATTACATCTACTACACATAACAGTTGTAATCAGCAAGATCCTTTGTAGGCTTTTTCTTCCATCTATCCTTTGTCAGGAAAGACAGAAGAATTCCTGTGACTCAGGAACTAAGCACATCCCTAAAGAGCCTGCAGGTCTTGAGAATGCTGAGCCTTAAAACTGACACTGTCTGGAGCAGCAACTTCGAGCTCATGTTATGAGCCAGGTCCCTGCCCAGTTGCCCAACAGGGCTCTGGGGACACGGGGGAGGCAGGGCCCGTGCCAGGACCAGCAGGGAGCTGGGATGGGGGGAGAGCCATGGAGGGCCTCTCCAACAGCCCCTGGAATGCTGGGCTATGGACCCTGGTAATGTCACAAAGGCCATGGAATGCTGGGGGTTGGACCCTGACAACCATCACAAAGGACATGGAATGCTGAGGGTTGGACCCTGACAAGTGTCACAAAGGCCATGGAATGCTGGGGTTTGGACCCTGACAACAATCAACAGCTCCTGGCTATTGGGGTTTGGACCCTGAAGCTGTCAACAGCTCATGATCTTTGGGGCTTGGACCTTGCAAAGGCCAAGGGCACTTGGATTTGTGCTATTGACCCTGCAAAGGCCAAGAACCTTTGGATATTGGTGTTTACACCCTGCAAAGGCCAAGGGCCTTTTGGCACTGGGGTTTAGACCCTGTTAAGGCCAAGGGCCTTTGGTCACTGGGGTTTAGACCCTGCTAAGGCCAAGGGCCTTTGGTCACTGGGGTTTAGACCCTGCTAAGGCCAAGGGCCTTTGGTCACTGCTGTTTCTCACTCCTTGTGAAAGGGGCAGATGGAGTCCCGGCGGGTGAGTGAAAAAAGCTGCTGCTCTCCTTGTGCCAAGCCCAGCAGGGACCGGAGAGGGCCTGGGCTGTGCCTCGGGGAACAGTTCCCTTTGGGAATAGCAAGGGATTAACAGCTGGCTGTTCCAGAGCTGGCAGAGGCTTTGGTGCTCGCTGTGGGGACAGTGTGGGAGGGAATGGGTGGCTCCTGGCCATCCCAGAGCACAGCCATATCTCCTCCTCTGTCCTTGTCCCACTGGAGGCCGTGGGCACAAACAAGGGAGCAGCTTTTCATTGCCTTCCCCTCACCCAAATTACAGCACAGCCTCAGTGCTTCCCAGAGTCCAGAATGGGTTTCTCCCAGGCATCTCTGAAATGACCCCCAGGGGCCCAGAGGAGGTCACAAGGATGAGAGGAAGATGCTGCAAGGGCTGGAGCACATGTGCCAAGGGAAAAGGATGCAAGAGTTGGGGTTGTCCAGGCTGGAGAAGGTTCCAGGGCGACTTTAGAGTCCCTTCCAATGCATGAAAGGGCTGCAAGAGAGCTGGAGAGGGTTTTAAGCCAGGGCCCTGCAGGGACAGGAGAAGGCTTCCCACCAAGACAGGGCAGGGATGGATGGGACACTGGGAGGGAATTCTGCCCTATGAGGGCGCTGAGGCCCTGGCACCCAGTCTTGAGGTTGCCCAGAGAAGCTGTGGCTGCCCCTGGATCCCTGGAGTGTTCAAGGGCAGACTGGGTGGGGCTCTGGGCAACTCCCCTTCTCGTGTTCTTACAAGTGATGAGACACCTTCCAGCATGTTCCTTTGCACTGCTGTCAAACTACTGGGCTGAAAATACTGCCAAGGAGGGGAGGAAGAGCTCAGCTGGAATTGCTGTGCTCTGGGACAGTCTGGGAAGCACTCAGAGGCGACTGCCTCAGGGGCAGCCATGCAGTCTGAGTGTGCTCTTCCCTGTGCTCCTGCAGGGAGCTCGAGGGCTTTCTCAGCAGGGACCTTCCTCCAGAGCCCCTGAGGTGAGTAAACTCTGCTGAGCTGGCTGGCACTTTGAAACTGGTTCTCCATGAATGGACGCTGGTTCTTGTGGGATCAGAAGAAGCATCTCAGTGCTGCTTTGGAATAGGAGCAGAATACCTGACTAACAGCTGGATGTGGGCTTTCAGGCACTGGTAGACAACAGTGACGGCATGGCCAACTCCATCATCTGCACCGACAGTCCTGGGAATATCCTCTCAACTCTGACATCCAGTGGTGAACAGCATCCCTTGGAATTGGTTCAGGAAGCTATAGAGACCTGGGGGCGCATGCAGCAATATTTTGATCAAATGGAGGAGAGAAGCCAGAGGATCAGAAGGCACTTCCAGCACATAGACTCTCTGGTAGAAGAAACCAGACGGTGAGTGTTTCCTCCTCCTCCTCCTGCATTCCAGAAACAATCTGCTTGCAGGCCTGGGAGTTCAGAGGTGCCCTGGGTGAAGAAGTCACCTGCCTACCATGTGTAGGCCTCAGTGTGGCTCTCAAGCATCATCCTGTCTGGTTTTTCATGCTCTACTGTGAGTCCCAAGGCTGTCTGGGAGTTGCACAGCCATGTTGGAATAGAAGACTCCTTCTTCTTGCCCTGCTGCTTCCTCGAGTTCTGTTCTTTGTGCACCCCTGCCCAGCCACTGCTTCTCACTGAGGGAAGGCAAAATCCTGCCTTTCCCATTGCCTCTGGAGGATTTTCTTGGGAGGGAAGGAGCAAGGTCTTCCTTAGCCCACTACCCCCAGCTCCATCCTGGAGTGCTGAAAATGGCATTGCTGACTCTTCAGGCCTCTTGATTCTTCTGACTGAGCCTTGTCTCTGCAGTGACCGTGCAAACTTTGAGATGTCCAGGGAAATGCTGCTGCAGTGCACTGGAATCCCGGAGCCAGGAGCCTTGGGTGTCCATCTGGAGAACACCAAGCAGAGGAAGGAAGCGTCAGCCCAGGCAGAACAGACAGAGCAGCAGGACAGAATGGAGGTTGGTTTGGGAAATGAGACTGGTTTTCCCTTGAAAACTCGTCTTGCCCCTTCTTGTACAGTGAAGGGCTTGGCTATACTCGAGGGAGAAGACCCACTCTTGTAGAGCGAGCTGGAAGTCAAGAGGCAGACATTGGAGGAATGGCAGCTTCAGAGGGATCAGCTGGAGCAAGAGAGGGATGATGTTAGCATGGCTCTGAACACCTTATTGCTAGGCAGCACCTGTGGGAGTGGGAGTTGTGGCAGCCAGATCAACCCAGATGCTGTTTCTGGCAGTAGAAGACAGGCACACTGCTGTGAACACCTGGCTCAAGATGGCACATGCATTGATTAGCCAGGAATATGCATGTTCATCAGCACAGCGTTGCATGCTTCTGCAAAATGTGTTGCTTTGGGCAGCCACAGAGCCTCAAAAACGGGGAACAGAGAAGGGGAAGGGTCTGGAGCACAGGAGTGACCAGGAGTGGCTGAGGCAGCTGGAGGGGCTCAGCCTGGAGAAAAGGAGACTCAGGAGGTACCTTCTTGCTCTCTAGAGCTCTCTGTTACAGGAAGGTGCAGCCAGGTGAGGGTCAGGCTCTGCTTCCAGGGAACAAGGGTCAGGAGCAGAGGAAACAGCCCCAAGCTGTGCCAGGGGAGGTTTGGATCGGGTGTTACAGGATAGCTGCAAGAGAAGGCTTTGTTTCTGAGGGTCTCTGTCAGACAGTCTCAGTTCTGGGGAATGTGGTAGGTTTGGCAAATGCACAGCAGAGGTTTTGCTTTGGCCACATCAGCCAGATTAACGTCCATCAGTCACTAAATGTCTGCTCAGCACAAAAGCCACTTCCCTGCGAGGCATCCTCTCCTTCCAGAGAGTTGCTTTGATAGGTGAGGAGGTGATGCTGTGATGTGAGTTTTGTCTTTGAAGGGGGAAATCCTGTATATTTTCCCTTGATTCAGCAAGTAAATTTGCTTTGTCAAACCTTCCTGAAATTGTCCATCAAAGAAATAGGTCCAGAGAGAAATTCTGTTTGCAAAGTGGCAAAAGTAGAAGATGCAGTGGTTTTGGGTGACAACACGGAGGTTGGAGGAGGGATGCTTGTTGGGAAGGAGCTGTCTGGTCCCAGGCAGGGCAGCAGGGCCTGACACAGCACTTCCAAGGTAACAGTGCCAGAGGCTTTTGGCAGCCCAGGCTATCAGAGCTGCCCAGGACAGGTGCTGTGAAACTTTGAGCCCAGAGCACAGGTGCTCCTTGTCCTCTGGCTGCCTGCGAGGTGCCACTGGCTGGCTCTGCACAGGGCTCCTGAGGAAGGGCTCGAGCTGTACCTTGTCCCACTTACAGGTTTCCCAGGAGCAAGAGTCATTGGGCAGGGCTCTGGAGCAGCTGCGCCAGGAATCCTCTGGCCAAGAGCATGAAATGGCTCAGGTGTGCAGAGAGAAGGAGCTGCTGGGCCGTGAGAAGGCTGCCCTTGAGGGCCGACTGGCAGCCACAGAGCGCCACCAACATGACCTTTCCAAGCAGCTGGCAGAGACCAGGTAAAGGCAGGGAGCAAACCCTAGGCAGGACAGGGCTGAAGAGCTGTAATGATAAAGGTGCTAAACACTACACAGGGGTTTGTAGTACTCTCTGTGCTTTTCAGATGTAGATTTGGCTGTTGAGGCCAAGTTGGGCTGGGCTGTCTGTGCTATGCCAGGCCATAGGGAAGGCCTGGGCAGTCACTGCGAGGGCCCGGCTCTGCTGTTGACATGGCACAAATGTGCCTTGTCTGGGCGAGTTTCCACGTCACTCATTTCCCATACTCAGGTGTGAGGATCTTGAGCCACATTGTCCTGGAATAACCGGCTGTGGGAGTCTGGGGCAAGCAACTCATGTCTCTCTGTGTGTGCAACTTGTAGGTCAGCAAAGGAGAGCCTGGAATCCAGGCTGTGTGCTGCTCAGCAGCAGATATCTCAGCTGGAGGTTACCTGGAACCATCTGGAGGCTCAAGTGCTCTCAGTCACACAGACCAAGGAGGTGCTAGAAGGTGAGAACCTCGTGTGCTTTGTTTGTGGTGCTGCCCCTTCCTAGAGCAGCTAAACACCCTGTAAAGCTGCCTCTGTCCACAGGGCTTCTGAGGAGTGGTGGGGCTGGTGGCACTCAAAGGGCCTGAGGTCAGTAAAGTCAGTAGAGACTCTGACTCTTGGTGTTGGTCGTGTTTGCAGGAGAAGTGAAGTGCTTGCAACGTGAGCTGGAAGCAGAGAGAGCTCTCAGGAGGCAGGAAAGGGAGGACACAGCTCAACAGCTCCTGCAGGCAGAGCAGCAGTATCACGAAAGCCTCAGGCTTCAGGGAACTGCTCAGCAGCTGGAAATAAAGAAGCTCCTGCAAGACCTGGTAGGGGACAGTACACTTCTGAATTGTCCAAGCCAGCCCTGTGGGTTGGTTTAGCACAAGCAGAGCCTGAGGGTGTGAAAGGGCAGCAATCCTCTGCCAGAGGCCTCCCGCTGCTGGGCCGGGCAGCAGAACCAGCAGCTCAGACTTGGAAGTGCCTGAAGGCCCCCAGGATGGTGCTGGGACAGTAAATGCAGCCAGAGCTTCAGTGAGGGTGTAAGAGGAGTTCCAGAGCAGGTTGGGCAGTGCCCACCCAAAGCGTGGCAGCCCAGGGCAGGATTGTCCTTGAGTCCCACCTGCCACAGAGCAGATGCCAGCGTGGAGCAGATGCCAACAGTGCTGCTGGCTGCAGGCGTGGGAACTCGGTTCCTTTCTTGCTGTGCTTCCACGGTGGACAGAGGGATTAGCTTTGGGCTGGAAGCAAATGGAACAGGCCCCTTGTCCCTGGTCCTTCAGTCCTTGTGACTGGGGCATCAGAGAGGGGAAGGTGACACCTCCTTTTCTGAATGCTTGGACTCAACGCTTGGGAAGGTCTTTGCCAAGATAAGAGGTTCCACGAGTCTGTGATTGTTGCACCTGCTGAGCTTCCTTTTGAATTCCATGACAGGACACGGTTTCTGGAGTGCTGTTGTCTTTTCCCGTTGGGGGTTGTGGGAGGGATGAAGCTTCACCTGTTTCGGCAAGGAGCTTGCCTGGGACTTCATCTTGCAAATTTTTCCTCCCCTCCTCAGTCAAGTGAGCGTGAAAGGCACCATGCAGAGATGCAGGAGACGCTGGAGCAATGGGAAAAAGAGAAGGCAGAGAGAGAGCAGGAGCACAAGAAGGTGCTGTTTGAGATGAGGCAGAAAGTTGCCACCCTGCTGGCCCAACAAGAAGAGGAACAAACTAGATTTGAAGATGCCAAGCGAGAGGTAATGACTGTGAGAGGAGAACTGGTGTGATTTTTTGCAAAGCTGGAGCTGTGGGACATGGCAGGACATGGGGCTGTGTGGAGCCTGCCCTCTGTGTCTTCTACATTGAATTAGGGGAGGTGAAAGCTGAATGGGGCTGTCTTTGGGACCAGGACTGAGCCCTCTCATAGGAAGCCAGACAGAAACATCAGCTGTCAGCTGAGATTTTTCTGCTGCTCTTGTGCTCTGTTGTTCTAAGATGTACCTCAGGGTACCTTCACTGTTCTCTTTCCGCTCCCCTTTTGGTGTGTACTGGCATGTGTTCGTAGCCAAAGTGAGCTTGTAGATCTTTTCTTATGTGGGAAAGGGGAGGGCGCAACAGGAACACTGACAAGAGAAAAATCTTTTCCAAGACTTGCCTGGAGTATTTCTGAACAGTAACCCAGAGATGTCTTTGTGGCCGTGTTTTAAGTCACTTCCTGGGAAGCTGTGTCTGCCCCGGGGCAGGCAGTGGCCCAGGGGAGCTGCAGCCCAGTGCTGTGAGAGCACGTGAGCCCATCAGTCTTTGCCTCTGCCACGGATGTGGCAGGAGAAGTGTGAAGCCCTCTGCTCTTTCCTTCTGTGCAGGTGCTGCTGGAAGAGCAGAAGGAGAAGAGTGCTTTATCAGAGGCACTGCTCCAAACTCAGGGAGAGCTCAGCCAAGCACACCAGCAGGTCCAGCAGCTCAGGCAGGAGCTGAAAGAGCAGCAAGAGAAGGGGCAGGTAAGTGTGAGTAGGCAGGCAACAGAGGGCAGGGCAGTGAGAAGGGCACCAAAGGCAGCTCCTGGGACTGAGGAGGCAAGGGCTGCTTCAGGCCCTGGGAGCACAGAGCCTGGTAAGCTCCAGAGCTCAGCCCCAGGAAGGAAGGTTGCAGTGGAAGCAGAGAGCTGGGTAGAGAAGCAAAAAGAAGCAGCTGAAGCAATGGGATTTTGAGGCAGCACGTAGAACAAGCTGAGCCGGAGGGCAGGTCCCAGGAAGTTGCTCTGCATTTTGTTTTCCAGACCATTGAGGCAAATCTGCAAGCTGAGCTGCAGGCAGCTCGCAGTGAAGTCCAGACAGCGCAGAGGAGGCACGAGGAAGAGCTACAAGGCCTCAAAGAGGAAATGAATCTCCTCCTTGAGCAGAGGGAGGCTTTACAAAAGCAGGTGAGTGAAACAGCAGTGGCACTGCAGCCGTGCAGGGAGGGGTCTGTGGCCTTCTTGCTTTTCCATGGCAGAGCAGCAGCTGATGGGGTGATCCCTGGGGCTGTCTCAGGCTCTGGGGGCTCCGTGGCAGCTGCTCTTCAGGACGCCCAAAGCTCTGCTGAATCTAAGCTGCTGCTCTGGACAGCAGGGCTAGTCCTCTGGGCTGTTGGCCAGCAAGCATCAGCAAGGATTCCTGCTGGCCTCTCCTTGCTAGCCTTGGTGTGGGAGGTGCTTTTTCAGGTGCCCTTGGTGGTGGGCCACTTGGAGACTGCAACAAGTTGTCCATATCCAGTGTGAATCTGGTGCTCTCAGGACAGGGAGAAATGGAAAGTTGTCCTTTGCCTTTCCTCACAGCCTGTGCTGTGGCTGACAGTGACAAGCTGTGGCTGTAGCCTCTGACTGCTTTGTTCTGTTTGACTGGAGGTGGGAGAGTTGACATCTCAGCTGGCAGCCTCCCGAGAGTCCCAGGAAATGACTGTCCAGAGAGCCCAGCAAGATGTGAGGGAGGCCCAGGAAGAGTCCAGGCAGAAGCAGTTGGAGGTTGAGCACACCCAGAAGATGCTGGAGGAGGCAAAACAACAGAACAAGGAGCTGCAAGTGCATCTGCAGAACTTGGAGAGGAAATGGAGTCGATGGGAAGAAGTGGCTCAGCACAATTCAGAATTGCAGGCTTCTGTGCATACTCTAGAGAAGGAAAAAGCCAGGTAAATGAAAGCCTGTGGGACTCTGCATTGTGGTGAATGGATTCCCTCTTTGCCATCCTTGCACCTGCCAGGGCCTCTGGCAGCATTTCTTAAGTGGCAGATTCTGAACTCTGGGTGCAGACACTTCTCATGGTCTGCATGTGTCATGGTTTGACGCCCCATGAAAATGCAACCTACCAATCAAATGCTGTGAAATGCGATCGAGAGCAGAGCAAAGCAGGCCAAACTTAATAACAAAGGAAAGACTTTATTACACTACTGCTAATAATATAAAGGGGAAGAAAAAGAAAAAAAACCACACAAACTTCAAAATGAAAACCTTCCAAAACACTCCTCCTCCCACCACCCAACTCCAACAAACCACAGCGAGACCCATTTAGATCCTTAATCCAGTTTTCACCCTTCAATATAATCAATACTGAATCCATCGGGGAAGAGAGGAGTCCCCGTTGCACCATAGACCCCCAGGAAACACAGCTGCCACCTCTTGTGTTTCCATGTCACACGTGGCACTGCCCAGACACACCGGCCAGTGTGACACTCTCCTCTCCATGTCACAGTGCTCTCACCACCGTGCATGGACAGAGACTGCTTATAGGGCCCCTTTAAGGATGCTTTGCCAAGGACCACCAGGAACAACAGTCCAGTACCGCATTTCGGGACTAGAGTCCCCCCCATTTTCCCCTGGGGCCGAGGGTCCAAGGTCAGAGATCGCCTTCTCTTCTTCTCTGAAGACGGAGGGCATCCTCACACCCTCCTCAGCTCTCTCTGTCCATTCCAGAACTGGTAGTTGCTGAAGAAGGTCTCTTGGCTCACCAGTGCATCCCCCTAAAATGCAGTCCCTCTTGAAACAAGGAGTGGTTCAGTCTATGGTAAACAAGCAGAGTCCAGCCAAAAGGCACTCCATCATCTCCCCCCAACCTTCTTCTCTGAACATCTGAGGTCCCAGGCTGTCTCTCTTTCCTTCAAATTGAGGAGGAGTAATATTTCATAAAGCCTTCATTTCCCAGGAAATGGTTAAAATTCCTGGACTCCCTGGATGGCTGAAATCTCAGCCCAGGACTCCTTCTCCTGTCTCCCACGCTGGGCATCTTCCCCCCCCTTCTCCTTCCCCTCTGTCGGCAAACTCCCAGGTGTCTGCTGGCTCTCTATCTCTTTTCCCTCTAGCTTAGGGGAGGGGGAACAAAGACATCCCAGATGTTCTCCACCCTTCCGTCCGCAGGAGCTGGCCCAGCTCGGTTCCGATCCTTCACCCCCTGGCCTACCTCTGCAGGCCGCATGGCTCCCCTCCCCCAGCCAGCCTGGGCTGGGGAGAGGTCCGTACCTTGCGATGACCGGAACCAAAGGAGAGTGAGTCCTCCTGGGAATTCCGCCTTTAACCCCTCTGTGTTCTCAGAGGCATGTCCACCTTCAATTGGTCACCCCAAGTGTCAGTATCCAAACCTGACCCCTGACTGTGACCTCTTCCTTCCAAAAAAAAATTCTCTTCCCGTGTCAAACCATGACAGGATGTTGTCTTTCATTTTCTTTCCTTTTAAGCCTTCAGCTAGAGTTTTTCTGCAGTCAAAGTCTTTTGGGGTAGTCCTTTGCCTCTAGGGGGTATTGTGTTGTTAGGTGGGTGTGTTGAAGCTGCCCGAGCTGCATTGTAAGGAGCTGGATCCATCCATCAGCCCCACCTTGGGTCTTGTACCTTGAAGCCTTTGGGATGTGGATCAGCCTGGCTTCTGATGCTCTTTCTGGGCAGAACCATCTTAAGGCCCTGCTTGCTGATCTAGGCCAGATTGCCCTCAGAGGCAGCCCAGAAACAAGAATGGCTCTGTGGCATCGTTCCTCATAAAATGTGTCCTGGGGCCTGGAGGGGGTCAAGCAGGCTCCCTGCCACCCTGCACAGTCACAGGCATTACTGACTGTGCAAAGAATGCAGAAACAGGACCAGGGGATGGGGGGCTCCTCCAGCTGATCGAGTCCTGCCAGTCTTCAGTGCCACAGGATTCTTCTTCCAAACCAAAGACAAAGGAGAGGCAGGGCACTCCTGCTTGCCTGGAGCCTTCTGCATCTGCCATCAGGTTTTGCTCCAAGCCTTGGCTGCCACTTGGGCCTCTGTTTCTCCAGCTGAAAGTAGGATGGGTGCTGGTAAACCTTAGGGAACTCGCCAGAGATCCCCTGGCTGTAGGCTGCTGCTCCTCCTACCGGGACGTAGAAGATTGGGGAAGGAAATGTCTCTTCCATGTTGACCAAACCTCCCTGCCTTGGAGCCTGGTTAGTCAGAAGAAAATTGTTCCTCTCCTCTAAAGTCTTCATTGCAAGACTTCATTAGCTTTGTATTCACATTCCCATCTCAAAAAGAAGGTAGGGCATGTAGGCAGGACTCCCTGTTCTTTCAGGAGCAAAAGCAGAGTCGGCACATGTTGGGCTGTGACTGCAGGGGGAACAAACAGCCAAGTTGTTTAGACAAACCTCATCAGACAGAGGAGTTTTTCCCTGAGGTGCTGCAAGTCCTAAGAGCTTATAGAATGTGATATCATATAGTAATGAGTTGCTTGCTTCCCTTCTAGGCTGCTTGTGTCTCTGGAGGAGAAGAACCAGTGCTTCCGAAAACTGGAAGAACAGAACCTGGTGCTGAAAAATCGTGTGTCTCGCTTATTTTCTGCTCTTAAGCAGGCAGAGCAGCTCTGTTCTGAGCATAGGAGACAAATGCAGGAGCTCAACACCCAGGTAAGCTGTGCAGTGGCATCCTCTTCTCCAGGGACACACAGCAGCACCTTTGGCTTGGAGGCCCCAACCTCTTTCCCCTCCCGGCAGCATCCACAGCTGCCGTGTTCTGCCCGGGGCTGCTGCGGCACCCTGAGGCCCAGGCTGGATCTGGTGTCTGCTGCCGAAGTTTTGCACCGTTCTCTCCCGGCTCCCAGCAGGACATCTGGGAGAGGAAGCAGCAGCAGCCTCCTCTGGAGCTTCTCCGTCCCTCTGTTAGCAGTGTTGTCCCAGACAGAGTTGGTGCCTGTGCCAGCACTGAGCAATGTGGGGACACAGAGGTGGCTGTGGCAGGCTGGGCAGGGCACTTCCAGCGCAGCCATCTCAGCTGCTGTTCAGAGCTGCAGCCTCAAGGATGCCCATTGCCTCCCTTTCCCTCTTTTCTCTACATTTGTCTCCATTGGAATCCTTGCTTCTGTGCCTTCTGGTTTTGGCATGGTTTTTGCCCGAAATAATTTCTCCTTTGTTCCTCTCCCTACTGTGCACTCTGCGGCCTCAGGAGCAGCCCTGTCCCTGAGGCTCTGTGCATCCTTCTTCCAGATGCAGGCCATGCTGCTGGCAGAGATAGAGAAGACAGCTCAGCAGGCAACTGAAGAGAAGCAGCTGCTGGAAACTGAGGTGTCTGAGCTGCGTGTGAGGCTCCAGAGCTCTGAGGAAAGAGCAGAGGCCATGGCCACACAGTGTAAGGCCATGGAGCTGGGGCTGAGGAAGACACAGGCTCAGAGGGACAATCTCAGAGCCTACAATCAGGAGCTGCTGAAACAGCTGGAGCACATTGAGCAAGGTACAGCTTCTCCTCCCCCAGCCACTGCCCCACCCTGTCCCACCTGCAAGGATCTTGCTGATGCCTTGCAGAGGAAAAGTGCCCAGAGATGTCAGAGGGGAAAAACAGCCAGCAGGAAATTTATCCATCCAAGTGCCAGTGAAAGCTTTTTTCTTGAGAAAGATGCTGTGGCTTGCAGAGCCATCTGGCTGTGCTAGGGCTGATCCTGGGCTGGAGCCTTTCAGGTGCTGTGTCTCTGTTAAGGAGCTGCAGCTGGATGCCTCAGCTTGATTCCCCCAAATTCCAGGCCCTGCCAGAGCCTCCAGGCCATTGGCCTCTCTGAGCAGGGCTGCACAGGCATCCCCTCTCCTTTGTCCCTCTTGGATTGCTCCCTCTGCACAAGACCAAGAGCAAACACACTTTCCTATCCCTCTGAACCTTGCCCCTTTCATTCCTGCTTTTTTCTCTGCCTGGAAATTTCCTTCATTTCTGTCAGCTTTGGAGCCCTTGTGTGCTCAGGGCCTGGCAAACACCGGCAGGCAGAGAAGACAGTGCTGTTGTCTCTGCAGGATGCACATCAGTGTGTCTTTGCTTTGCTTGTCCCCTTCTCCTTCTCCTTCCCTTCTCTGCTGCAGTTTGGTGGAAGACACAACTCAAGTACCTTTCTCGAGAAAGTGCCCTGGAGAAAGAGGCCACTGAAAGACAGGAAGAGGCTGTGACTCTTCGTCAGGAGGTGGCATCTCTGAAGAGGAAATTGGAGAACCTGGAGAAGGAAAGGAAGGATGTGCTGGTGAGATTGGCAGATGCCACAGAGGGCCAATTCCTAGCTATGTTTGGACCTTGTGGTGATAGTTCTAAGGAGCAGACTTTTTCAGTTAAACTTTTCTAACTGCATTCTTCTGAATAAGGAGGAGATGTTGTAGTCATGCCAAAGGCAGTTAATGCTGAAGCTGCTGATTTTCCTCCATGCTGGGCTTCTGTGCCCTAGAAGCTTTAGTTCTCAATCTCCACACTCTCTCTATGGCCATGGCATGGTTTGGGGAATTCCTTGTGTCCAAACCCATGTTCACATTTCTAAATATCTGAAAGGGAAGGTGAGAAGACCAAGACTGCTGTTAATAGAAAGGTGTTTGGCCTTGGCCATCTGAGAGCAGCCAGTGGGGAGAGAAGAGAGGAAAGCCGAGTGCTGATCCACACCAGGACGTGTGCCTGCAAGGGGAGAACTCGTCCTGAGTGGCAGCAGAGAATGACAGACTGATCTGGCCATTGCTGCTCCAAGAGAGGGCAGTGGGGCTCTCGGGGATGGGGCCATGGAAGCTCTACACAGGAGAGGTGGAACAGCACTCCTGGCAGCCCAGCCCCAGGGAAGGAAATGCTGGGGGTGTTTGCTCT